GGCAATGCCTGCGAAATATTTATCACAATTTAATAGTAAAGAGATTTAAGTTGTATTTAATATTAAAGTTGATCTCAATCCAAAATTCCTATCAAGACCAAGTTTTTTGATTTTGAAAGAAAAAAATTACTTTAAAAGATTTGAGATTAAGAGAGATGCTTATTTTATGAAAATTTAAATTTTGGAGGTAGCCAAAAAGGAAAATGATTGGCACAAAGGAAATAAAATGCAGAACGAAAAGGGAAAGTCAGATAAAGTTCAAGATAAATTCGAATTTGAATTTTACACACAAAAAAAACTTTTAAAAAGGTGTACCGGCTATGTCACATTTGTCTAGTTTGCAACTGGGGGTGGCGGGATCAAATATTTAACCTCGGTTAAAAAAATTTCTAGATAAATATATAATAATTTTACCAACATAGCGGGTATGATACCACCCCACCCTAAAGGGTGGATCTGCCACTGACTACTGCATTAAGAATCCAAAGCCATTATGTATTTCAAAGGTATTAGACACTGTTACTATCTTATGCTCTTCAAGTATTTCAATATCGTTCATATGGACACAACAAAAGGAGACGGACTTCCGCTGGGCAGGGTTTAAGTTTTAGTTTCATGGATATCTTAGGGTGAAACAAGAAGAAGAAAGGAATCAGGGGTCAGAATCTTTGTAAAAGTTTAGGTCTGAAACTACAGTATTTTTGCTACACGGACTCTTGTGTGAATGTACTTTTCTTTTATTTGTCATCTTCCTTTTTTTATTCACTGCCAAAGCGAGCACTTTTATAGGAGAAAATGATGAGAACCGTTTAGAGAATATCTGATTTTTTGAGGATTTTGCATAAAACTAGAAATAAAATATAGGCAAAAAGAGGGAAGTAATCCATATATGGAGTAACAGGAGGAAAAGGAAAAAGAATAAATGACTAGAAGAAGAAAGGAAATCAAAGATTCTACATCTAGAATCTGTCAAAAATTGGGGTTTAATTTGAAACGAATTCATTTAGTTTGTTCCATACACAGAGTCGGCCAAAATGGTAGTTTTCTGCTACTTTATTTATCCTTTTATCTTTTACTACTTCTTTCTTTATTTTTATTTTTTTTAAAATAGTACAAAATTTACAAAAATGAAATAACTATATACAAATATAAATACAGGAGACTATAATCTAATACTAATAAACACACATGAATAGTTATATGGATTTGGGGATAGAAAATGTCTCTACTAATGTTACGCACAATCCAAGTACTTTGATATTTACTCTAGACGACCTTTTAATTATTTTTGCAAACAATCAAAGACATAAGGAAAATGGTCAGTGATGTAACTTATCTAGAATAGTAGCTTATTTAACCCTTAATGAATAGAAAAACAAAAGGCGAAGAAGCAATGAAGAAAAATTAAAAAACCGAGAAAGAATAGGAAAAGATATATATAATGAAAATGGATTCGATGGATGTACACCGCAATTGCCACTTAGTTACTATGTACTAGTATTGTTTTCTTTTTGTTATTTTTTAAACATTTTATTTCATATTTCTTTTATTTGAGTAGAAGAAATTCTAGATACAACAAAAGTCTTATTACCTAATGAAAAAAACCGGTTAAAATGCAGTTCATCTAAACTCTAATTCAAATTAAAATACTAAATTCTGATTTCATCAAATATGTCGATTTTTTTTTTCATATGCGCGCCAATACACACACATATAAGATTTTATCTCTTCTATCTACTAAATTTTGTGAAAAATATTTTTAAATTCAGTGATAATTTTATAATCGCGCGAAGCGCGGGAAATTTCACTAGTTGAAAAATAAAATCAAAGAAGTTAGGCAGCAAATAGTGGAAGCAGAAAGAGTCCGGCGACGCGAGAGAAATTCCTCGCGTTAGGCCTCGCGACGCGAGGTCCAGCGCGGGCTACTTCGCATGTTCCATGTGGTGACGCACGGTGTTTGGGATTTGAGGCAATTTTGTCTCCTTTTTGGTATTGGACTTGGTTATTTCGCCTAGGCCTATTTCTACATCTATAAATAGTCACAAACACAATTTTTATATAACTTTTGATCAAGGGAGAGCACAGAGCCGCCGTGGAGGCTGGGTTTCATCTTTTCTTCCGCCAAACTTAGTAATTTTTATGTTCCTTTGTATGATTTGTTATTTGGCTACTATATCTATGTGGAACTAAACTTCACATTCTAGGATTGTTCTTTCATGACTATTGTTATTCGAATATTGATTTTAATTTCTTAGTTTATTGTATTAGTTTATTTATTCAATCATGCACTTAATTATTTGATTGCTTGATCAACAATTGAATACTATCTACGAACCTATAATTGAACTCGAAAGTGGGAATTCTAGATTGCATATAGGATTGAGTAGAGCAAGTTCTTGAACCTGGCCATCGGGGAACAGATTCGCAGTTAGGATAGATATATACCTAATTGCCTTGCTTGGTTGATTTACAGGAATTATAAATGCGTTCTTGTAAGTTCTAATTCTATAGACATATAAGCGTAAGGTTAGCTTGAATAGACGAGTAAGAACTCGACAGATTTTTATGAGCAATATTAACCCTGTTAACCACTAAACTAAATAAATTAGTTAGTCAATTCAATTAAAGAATACAATAGGAATGTTAGATAACCCATAACCCTAGATCGTTTTCATCACATTGATAATATAAAAATCTGCTCTTCCTCTGTTTAAAGTTCATTAATTATTTTCTTTTTAGTTTAATTATTTTAGCATCACTATTTTTGGGTTTAATCCTTGTTTAGATTATTAGGATAGTCTGATCTAGTTAATAGTTGATAACAAGTCCTCGTGGGTTCGACATCCGACTTTTAGTCACTTTATTACTTGACGACCGCGTATACTTACGTGTGCGTTTGGCCGCAACATAGAGTTTACGGGTTCGAAAGTTTAGCGGTTCGGAAGTTTATGAAATTTGTGGGTTCGGAAGGTTGTTGGTTCGAAAGTTTATAGCTTCATGTTTATTGTATCTAAATTATATATGAATACTCTTGAGAAGTTATTTTCCTTAATTTGCGTACCAAACACCAGAAAATGAATAAGATTACTACTTGTTTTCTAAGAAAATATTTTCTTAGAAAACATTTTCCGTTATACCAAACACACCCTATATGTTGGATAGTTTTAGCTTGTATAAATACTGCACGAACATATCAAACAAAGGCGAACAAGTATAGTTTTTCTCTATTTTGAAATGTAGACAAATATACCTTCTTTACTAAAACGGGCTGGAATGCAAGTATGCCTAATTTATACATACTGAGCTCTAATATCTAATGGGAGTAATAGATATCACTATATAACTTTTTGGAGGGCCTGCTATATAATTGGCTACTTTTCTTGAATTTTACTCTTAGCAGTTCTTATTCTCAAAGCAAGAAGTTGTCCTAATTAGACCATAAATTACATTTCGTGAAGTTCTATTTCTAGAGGGTCCAATTGACACCCAGGATTTGGAGGCAGCGGGGCACGTGAGCAAACTGCTCTGCTAGTCTAGTGCCTCCATCGGACTTTTGATCATAAGGGTAACAAGCAAAATATATCACCGGTTTCAACATATATATACATTCAAATTTTTTTGTTGAAGTTAACGGGGTCGGTGACCCCTCTTCTCCAAGCATATGTCCGCCTCTGCAATTGACCATCAGAGAGAAACTTATATCTGAAGAGATTTTTTAATAAAAATAATATTCTAAAAGAAAGAAAAAAAGAAAAAGAATGACAAGTTGAATAATGGATGCAGCTCCTCGGAGAAAATATTACTCCAGATTACAAAAAGGTGTCCTAAAAATCTTAAAAGTTGAACTCATCAAGTTTAAATTCTGAATTCGTCTCTAATTATCTTTCGTTTCATAATAATAGTAGCAGTGACGGGGAATGCCTAAAGTTTTTATGATTTTAATATGTCAAATGAGAATTTGACGCTTGAGATTTAAATGACAAATCATAGAAATTCAATTACCCTTCACGCTTATGCAATATTGGCAGAAACGTGGTTTGGTAGACTAAATATTGGTCACGCAAAGTCACAAATCATGTCTTTACCAGAATTTAAGGAAAATAAGATTTCAATGAAGTATTTTCTGTGGTTCATTCAATTTGATCTTTAACACTTGTAAGGCTGAAAAGACGCTGCCGGCATATCGATCCTACAACAAATTGCCAAAAGAAGAAATTCAAAATTAAAAAAAAAAAGAAATTTGGATATTTGTTGATTAAAATGACAATTTTGTTCCTTTAACTAGCATTACATTTCGATGAAAATGGAAGTAAAAAAAAAAAACTAGAAACAATTAAAAAATCTTTAATCAGTTTGTATTCACTATATGAAACTTTTGTTTCATCATGTTGTATTCTTGACTAAGCTCGCATTGATTACTAAGGTATTGCAAATATTTTACTGACTAATTTATTTCATGTGATTTTTAAGTCTACGTAGTCCCTTTTAAGCATCTTAAATGATTTTACCTTATCTTTTATGTGTGCTACTTGGGCACTCGATCTGTGTAGTGTGGTCATATATGATCATGTCTAATCTTGTTATGATCGTGCGCTCATCCTAGTTAAATATTTAAATTGTCGTTTACATTTAATTAGATACAAAATTCCGTCCAATCCCACCTTTTTAAATTCTTCTCATTAGGGTTAAATCTAATGTATAAGTTTATAAATATTCTAAATCGAAAAAGGAGGAGAGCTAAGTAGATTGACTATTATGTCGCTAGTTATTACTCAAGAGAAATCTTTGGTTTAGTAAATTTATGGCTTTAATTAAATATAATTTTAAAGTAATACGAAATTAAAAATAGTAAATATAGCTAAGCTATTATAATTAGAAGGGTAAAGAGAGGAAATTTCCTCTAAAAGTAGTTGAAGGAAAACCGGGGGCACCTACAAAAGGAGCTTGCCTTTGCACTAAATTTCTATACTAATTAGTTTTCTTCCCAAAACAGATAATGAAAGAAAGGTTTCCCTTGAAAAACAAATGATACGTCCATTTTGAATAATCGATAGCCAGAGAATTTCTGAGCAAAAAGAATCTGCAGTAAATAGGATTAAAAAGTTCACATTACTTTTTAATTATCAAATACAAAGTTCCCTATATAGGGAAATCACTTATATTTATGACAAGAATTTGACAGGTAGATAGATAAATAGGAAGGAAAGAATCGTTGTGCATCCGTTGAATGGTAGCTGAAAGGAAAATACTAGCTTTCAAGAGAATTTGATTGAGTTTGGAAAAGTATTTGGAGAAAAAGAAAAAAAAGGGTTTCTTTTTCATGCATGCATGCATGAATAGGGTAGAGGAATAAAGAAGGGCAAATTACGCCCGAGGGAGAATAGGTAGAGGAATAAAGAAGGACAAATTAAGCCCGAGGGAACGGATTTCTTTTGATTCTGTTTCTTGCTAGAAAAGAAAATTAAAAATGATGGGAAGTAGAAAGAGGGAAATTATTGAGGATTTTGCAATAATAGGAGGGTTGATAGGGGTACAATTTATGTATGCAGGAAATTCAGTGGTTTCTAGTTATCTTATGATGTTAGGTTTCAAGCCTTCATCTCTCATTATCTTGTCTTCCTTGGCCACATTTCTCATCCTTTCTCCATTTTCCTTTATGTTTGAAAGGTAAAAATTTTCTTTCTCTTAATTTTTCTCTTGTTCATTGATTATTTAATTTATTGGCAAATTTTCCTAAATTAAGCTGCTTATATATATGTTTGCATGTTGATGTTGCAGGAGTCAATGGCCTAGGGGCATGAGTTTGAAGTTGTTGATTGAACTTTTTTTGATTTCTTTTGGAGGGTAAGTAAAGATGATTTTATGAGCTAGTAATTTAGTTTATTTCAAAGTTTTAGTATGGCTAAATATTAAATAGTTCCTTAAATTTTTTGCTTATTTTGCAGGGTTACATTGTTCCAATCTTTGTTCATGAAGGGAATCAAACTTACTTCTCCTGCAATGGCAACAGCTATGCCAAACCTTGCCCCAGGACTTATCTTTCTCATTGCTTGGGCTTTTGGGTATTATACCTTCCAGTTTCGTTTTTTTCTCTTTTTTCTGTTTGAGAGATGATTTTTCTGTTGGAAATTTGAGAAATAGGAGTATAACTAAATATATATGAAACAGAATAAAGAAAGAAGCTGAAATAATCGGCTGAGAGCAACATGGAAAGGGAGAATTTATATAGCCGACCCCAATTTGTATGGATTAAGGCATATTTGCTAGTGTTTCATGTACTTTGTGAGTACAACAACAACAAACCCACTTTAATCACACAAGTAGGGTGTGGGGAGGGTAGCGTGTACGCAGACCTTACCCCTACCTCGTAAAAATTCTACCACTGAGCTAAGATGGCTTGTACAACTTTGTGAGTGTCAATCTGATATCTAAGTGTGTGATGTGCAGATTAGAGAAAGTGGAGTTAAGATGCAAATACAGCAGAGCTAAAATAGCAGGAACATTATTGTGTGTTACAGGGGCTATACTTATGAGCCTAATGCAAAGTAGCTCAAATCCTAAAGAGATGCCTTCTTCACCTCCTGATCACAAGGACAACTTTTTTGATCCAGAAAAAATCAAAGGTTCAATGTATCTCATGGCAGCTATCGTCGTGTTATCAAGCAATATTGTCTTGCAGGTACAGGTCTAGTATTAACTAATCGTACCAATTTTACTAGGTCCCGTCAAGGGATAAAATTAGAACGACACAGAAAAGATTACTATGCTAGAATGATACATATAAGTCGAGAAATAGTATAGAGTTTTGATCAAATATTTAACTTGCAGGCAGCAACACTAGGAGATTTTCCAGCACCAATCTCCTTATGTGCTATAACTTCACTTATAGGAATGGTATTGACTGGAATTGTACAATTGATTCAACAAGGTAGTTTGGAGATTGGATTGCCCCTATTAAGTATCCGCGACTTAATTGGCTACTCCTTACTGGTAATTCATCAAATTCACTCAATATACTCATGTTAAGTTATGGTGCAGAGGAGCTAATTAGCAATGGAAAATTCTTTTAAAGTTCAAACTTTTGAGTTTTATCTACTGTTGGTTTGTGGTTGTGATCATAGGCAGGTATTGTTAGTGGAGCATGTGTAAGCTTCAATAATTGGGCAATGAAGAAAAGAGGGCCAGTTTTGGTTTCTGTATTTAGTCCTGTTGGCACTGTGTTAACTGTGGTTCTTTCTGCTATCACCTTGAGTGACACAATTACTATGGGAAGGTAATTAAACACCTTATCTACTTTCACTTGGATTTAATTTATACACTATTTCCAGGCTCAAGGGGAGCCTTGACGTAACTAGTATGGTCACGGGTTCGAGCCGTGAAAACAGTCTCTCGCAGAAATGCAGGGTAAAGCTGCATACAATAGACTATTATGGTCCGGCCCTTCCCTGAACCCTGCACATAGCCGGAGCTTAGTGCACCAAGTTGTCTTTTACTATTTTCTAGGCTACTAATCGCACTTTTCTTTTATAGACGGTTATCTGCAATTACCTTTTAAATGACATAATTTTATTTTTTTTGCAGCCTTGCTGGTATGTTTCTGATGTTTACGGGTCTGTATTTCGTGCTATGGGCTAAAAGGAAAGAAGGATTTCTAAATAATGATATCAACTCTTCAGAAAGTGAGTACGATGTGGAGAAGCCTCTTTTACATTAAATTTCTTCTTATTCTCTTTGTACTTCGTAGATTAATTAGTTTGTACATATAATTAGAAACCAACTTAGAGAAAGAGCGAGCATGTAATTTGTAGTAGTACAAATAGATAATATGTACTCATTAATCTAGACTTGGAGCTCAAAATATATAAAAATCAAAAGAGAAAAAAAGGAGGAAGAAAAAGGACAAAGAAAGACTTGATTATGATAGTTGAAGTTTTAAAAAAAATGCAAGTTACAATCCTAGTAATGTCTTTTATTTTGCAGTAGCATGACGGAATATGGGAATCAACATGTTGCTGTATTTCTGGCGTTTTGTTTTCCTTCACTTTTGGAAGCAGAAAGGGTAGATTTAAGATTTAGACCACATATGCAAATGATCTTTTTTTGTTAAAACTTAGAACTATATATATATATAAAATATAACCTCTGGAAAAGGGGATTGAATTAATGACCATAAGCTCACAATCATGTAATAATACATTTTTGTTCTTCCTTTTGAGTTTGCGGTTTGAGAATTCCCATGCACCTAGTGCCTTTAGCCTCTTACGGCAGAAAAACATACTAAATCATATTGCTACAATACTAGGATTGCTTTTTCTTGTTTTAGATTATGATATTAGTGGTGTCAAATTCAGCCTATGGAAATATAGTAGAAATGAGCTGCACTAATGAGCTGCTATTTAGGAATTAACCAATACGTTCTCAATTTTAATTTTTCAGCTCAATATTTTGGGATCCAAATGTCCTGAATTGACCTGAAATTAAGATTTTTAGTTCAAGTTTTAATGACAAAATAAATACTGGCTAATTTCTAAATAACAACCCTAAAAATGATTGTTTGTGCAGTCCCCTGGAAATATGTTCCATTGACAGGTTCAATTGCGCATAATTTAAGTTAGCCCATCAAAATTGATATTTCAAAATTGATGGAACGCATACAACCTGTCGTGACTTTATCCGGCGCGACGATGTATGTTGATATATCAAAACTGATATATTAGCTACAAATGATAATTAGACAAACTATAACTACGTATGCTAATTAGGCTCTAAACTATAGCATTTTATGAAAATTCCTCTTTGGATAACCTATGTAGTCCGTATTTACCAATAGAAAGACTTATCAAACATAAAATTGATCCAAATTAATTATGGACGAATTATGATCTAACCTATTCATTGATTTTAACTCGTCTAGATTTAGTCTAATCAACCCACCTTATTGGGAAGAGAACAGTAGTGGTTTATGGAGATGGCATGCAGCTGAAAACAATGGTTTAAAAAAAAGATGAAGGAGATGGTTAAAACTTAAAAGAGATGGCTGTCTAGAGCTGTGTTTTCGGCGGATTTTTGGGGTTTAGGAGCAGAGGTTTCCTCTGATTTTTGCTTTGTATCCGTCTGTCTCCTCACTGTGCTTCTCTCCCCTTCTGCTCTATTCCTCTTTTATGCCATCCAATTTTGGACTCTCTCTTATCACGTGAACTTGGTGTCCAAGAAAGGATTTTTCTAGAATGAGTTGTAGTTTGTTAGAGGGAATTGAGGTGAGAAGAGGTGATTAGAGAGTGAGAGAAAAAGAAATATATATCTCCACTACTCCCATTACTTTTATCCTTGAGGTAAATAACCTCCCACATCTTTCCCGTGATCTCAATTGTTAATGTCATGTTTAAGACAATTATTTTATAACCTTTCTGTATAATAGTATAAATAGGGACATGAAATATGAAATGAATACACTCGAACACTTGATGAAATAAGAAAGTTATTTCTTATTCTCTTATTCTCTTATTCTACTTATTTTTTTGTTTTATGTTATTACTTTTAACTACATTTCCTAATAAAAATAAAATAATAAATGAGGATAAGGGACTACTTTCACTTTTTCTTTTCTTTTTTTCCGTTCTTTACTTTCTGTTTCTATTTTTTTCCTTCATTTAAAGATAATCCAAAGTAACAAAAACTAAAAATTAAATACTACTAAATTAAAATAGCAAAACAAATTCCAATTGCTTTAGATTAATAGGGAATAAATATTAGACAGAAGAATATAGTAACTATATTAAAGGGATTTAACTACTACTGTTACTAAGTATTTCCTAAAAAGCCTACAACTTAAAAATCACTAAATTGAGTAAAAATATTTTTGTGAAGTAAGATAAATAAAAAATGCTAGACAAAATACCAACTAGATAAAATCAAGGAAAATATTTCTGTAGTTTTCATTTTTAGGATAAAATAGAGCAAAAAGGTCAAAAATAATCAAAATAGCATTACTACACCTAAAACCAACACTAAGCACTAAAAGATGTAAAATTTTGGGGAGGGTCAAAAATTACATGTCTACACTTATTATATTTGGTTCTTTTATTTCTTAAATGAAAGGGCAACATATTTAGCATAATTGAGCTTTCCTTCTTGTAGAAGAAAATTATAAATCTCCTCTATTTGGCAAGTCCTTTTTTCTTGGAGGAAAATGTTTTAGGCTTCTATAAATTGAGGATCATTTCTTCTCATTCAGTAGCATCCACGATGTAACCATACGGGGTTTGAGAGTCTTGTTTAGGGCGAGAACTTTACGGAACAAGTGTTAGTGTGTCACTTGTGTTTGCCACTTCGTGAGGTTGTTCAATTCTCTCGATATTTTATATTCTCTTTTATTTAGTGGATTGCTCATCTACATCTGTGGATGTATGTCAGTTGACCGAACCACGTTAAATGTTTGTATCTCTTTTAGTATATTTCTCTTTTGTTGTCTGATTTATCGTCGTTTAAAGTTTGTTTTACTAACTTTCGCATGACACCTGATTATTTCGATCCTTACAAGCATGCAATGAGAATTTAATCAACAAAGAAATAGAAACTAGTGTCTTAAGTCTACTATATTCGTAAAACTAATAATGCCACTTATTGTACGTGTATGTGTTTATTTTGTTTAATTATTCTGTTAGACTATTACAACAGTATTTTTAGATAGAAGTCACTAGTAAAGTAGTCCACCAATCTTACAAATTTCTTAGTACAACATTACGTACAATACGATTTTGTGTCAGTAAGATTTGACTGAAGAAAAACATTGCTATAACCACGAGAGTTAGAAATAGTCTGCCAACCACATAAACTGAACCTTCCACTTGTCATACACTCATTTTCACTCCCCTCCCTTTACTCATAACAAACTCTCTCTTCTTCTCATCCACAATCAACTAACTTCAACTAAAAACTAGGACTTCCCTCACTTTGCTATAATAATCCATTTACTTATACACCACAACCTTCACTACTGTCACTATCTAATTCTTTATATATACCAACCCTGTCTTGAACTATACTACAAAACATACTCCCATAGTTTCTTTAACATTTTCTTTGTTACTTTTAGAGAGTTAAAATGGTGGACAATAGTGAGAAAAATGAAACAATATCAAGTGTTGTACACTATTGTAGAGTATGTAAGAGGGTTTTTAGTTCTGCTGGAGCTCTTGGTGGCCACATGAGATCTCATGGAGTAGGGGATACTAATAGAAATTATGGAGAAGAAATTAGTGAACAAAGATTTATGATAAACAACAACTTTAGAAGGGATAATAAACAAGAGGGACAAAAGCATTCGTATAATCTTCGTGCTAATTCTAATCGATTATTTGGCAATCGAGCAAGTGAAGATCGTGATAGAAAGTCCTCAATGTGGCCTCCCAATGATCGTGGGAAATATGTTGTAGATGAGACTTTAACTTTGTCACCAGTGTCATCGCCTGGATCATCAGATATTGAAAGAAATGTTCAGTCATATAATGCAAAATCGGAGTACTATGGTTATGATAAGGATCAATATGGTTCGAGAGAAGAAGATGAAGATGAAGATCTAGCTAATTGTTTGGTCATGTTGTCGAACAAATCTTATGATTTGTCCGATAACAACAAGGAGGTCGAAAACAAGGCTAAAGAAGTGGAAAAATGCATGTTTCAATGTAAAGCATGTAAGAAAATCTTTAATTCCCACCAAGCTTTGGGGGGACATAGAGCTAGTCATAAGAAAGTTAAAGGGTGTTATGCTGCTAAACTTGACGACAATAATAACAACAACAATAATGATATTGACATCGATGAAGACTTGATCTCTCCTACTGATTTAATTTTACATCAAGAATCTAACTCTTTTCAATCCCACTCTCCCTCATCATCGGGCTCGTTTTCAAGAAAGAGATCGAGGGTTCATCAATGCTCGATTTGTTATCGAGTTTTTTCATCTGGACAAGCCTTGGGTGGACACAAAAGATGTCACTGGCTAACATCAAGTTTGCCAGAGACTACATTTATACCAACTTTTCAAGAAATCCAATATCACAACCAAGAACAACTATTCAACAAGCCAATGTTTACCAACTCTGATCAACCACTAGATCTAAATTTCTCAGCACAACTAGGCAATGCTGCTGAAGTTGGGCAGAAATTACACAATCCATTTGAACATGAAGGCCCAAGAAGCTATCTCCAGCTATGGACAGACCAAGAAGTTGATACTAATAATCTAAATCTGAGTCTAAATCAGAAGTCCAAAGTTTCAACAGAAGATTTGAGTAGGGAAGAAAATTATAAGGCTAAGGAAGCAAAGTTGAGTAACCTTAAAGATGTGAATTTGGATGGAGGATCTTCTTGGTTACAAGTTGGAATTGGTCCAACTCCAGATATAGTAGCAACCCTCTAAGGTTAGTATCATAGTCATTGTTTTGTAAGCTACAAAATAGTTAGTAAATTATACTCTCCGTCCCAATTTATAGACAATTCTTTCTTCTGGGATGTCCCAAAATGTTTAACATATTTATACTAATAATAATACCCTATACATTTTTTATAACATTCTTGATTCACGATCTTGCAGCTGAATTAATCCCCCATGTTCCCTCGTCTCCTGCACCACATGCGGCGTGGCTTGTTAGTCATTAATAGTCGGCTTGATTAGTACTATATTGATTGAGCTAACTCCAAAAAACCCGTCGACAGTCCGAATTTTAGGTTGCAACTCGCCTGCATGAAGCTTGAGTCGCTAGCTCTCTTGTTTTAGTGACTCTTTCTCTTTTTTAAGTTTTTTTTTCGAGTGTTAAAACGATGTCAGATGTGATGTTACATTTTTCATAACATATTAGTTGGATGTTACATTAGAAATAATGGACACCAAAGCAGGAAATTATGACCCAAAATTCCAAATA